CTCGCGCCGCGCGGCCGCGGGGGACGGCTGGGAGCCGGATCGCCGCGTCCCTGCCGCCGCATGTGCGTTGCCCTCGACCTTTCCAGCCAGCTGCCACATCATTGTCCCGCTGACAGCGAGTGGCGCGGGCCTGCCTGGGTACCCTGTACTGTGGTCCTCGGGCCGGCGGCCGCTCTGACCCGTCCTCCAGGCCGCCTGCCCCCTCACGGTGGAAACCCTTGCCGGCTTGCTTTTTGTTTTCTTCGGGAACAAGCTGTAGCAAGTGGAGAGGCACAGGCTGCTTGCATCAGGCTGCTGGGTGAGGGAGCAGAGACGGGGGCTGTCTGAGGGACTCGCAGTGGAAGTAGTGTGTCTTCCCTGTTCTCGAGGCGTGCACTGTTCTCTGCCGTGTGGCTCCCGAGGGTGTGATCATGGTGATAATCGTGAGTGGTCCTAGATGAACGGTCCTCTGGATCCCGCGTGCTTTGAGACTGTCCAGCAACCTCCGGCGGGAAGTTGGAGGTAGCACAGTGTTTGGAACGGGAGACTTTGTTTATAAGCTGCCTGGTTAGGGTCTGTCTTCTGCCTCTTGCGGCTGCTGACTCCTGTCTTCTGACCTTCTCTTTGTGAGTCCCTCCATGAGAATGAGAAGCACCAGCTTCTGCAGCTGGAAGTTCAGAGTGAGGAAAAACGTGTTGGGTTTTCCGTCTTTAGGCTCTTTGCTCTTCTGTTTGAAAGAAGGGTCTCGCATGTAGTTCAGGCTGGCCTGAAAATTGTGGCAGTCCTCCTGTCTCAGCCTCCCAAATGCTGGGATGACAGGCGTGCACCACCATGCCCAGCTCCCTGGGCCTTGTGAACACTTGAGATAGACTGTAAGATTGAAGGGTGAGCTAGGTGTAGAGGTGCACATCTGTAATCCCAACAGTCGGGAGGCTGAGGCAGAAGGATTGCTATGAATTGGAGGCCAGCCCGGGCTATGAAAGTGAGCTCAAAACCAGCCTGAACTGCATCGTGAGACGCTGTCTCAAAAAGACTTAAAAAAAAAAAAAGAAAAAAGAAAAAAAAGACTGCAGGGTGAGCTGAGGAGCCCAGGGTCAGCAGACTTCACTGTGCTGTGGTAGAGGACCTGGGGACCGCTTTGGCTGGAGATGGATGACCCGTCCACTGTCTGAGCCAGGGTACTAGTTCTGCACGTCTGGCACAGCAAAGCACAGTGTATGGGAGGTCTCTGCGCCCCTTGGTCTTGGGCAGGTCACTGTCTTCAGCGTCATCACTGGGGTTAATGCGGGTCCCGGAGGAGAGGGAGGGAGGACTCCGTGTAAGGCTTGGCCCTCTGGCAGCTGCTTTGGGCCAGCACTCCGGCAGAGTTTTTCTCCTGCTGCCTGCGTCCTCCGGGGTCATCTGACAGTATTTCTAGGGAAACTGGGTCATCAAAATATGAACTCCGTGCCCCTTTCTGGAAGTCAGTCCTTGGTCCTGTTCTACATCCTGCTTCTCACTAGAAAGCGTCCTGTCTGTGGCGGCTGGTGGAAGCCTAGATTGAGGAGAACCTCGGCCCACTGGAAGGAGCCGGGTCCTGCTCTCCTGTGTGAGCCTGAGCCCGGGGGGTTGGAGGCCTTGGGTGCGGGAGCCGCTGGCCTGTGCTCACGGCCAGAGGCTGCTTGCTGTTCCGCCCGCAGGGCCATGTGGCTGGTCTGACATTCGCCACCTGCTCCTTTCCCCCTCCCAGCGGTGTCCCGGGGCATGTGGGACCTGAGCTCGCACTGAGAGCCTGAGCGCACACCAGTTCCCAGCAGCGTGGTGCTGGGTTTTCCTGCCAGCTGTGGGATCCGCCGGAGGCCTCCATTTGGTGTGGGGCTGGGTGGAAAGGCGTTGATGTTCCTCAGGGCTCCAGGCCCTGGCTGCTTGGGGCACCCAGAGGGCAACGCCCTGGATAGGGGAGCTTGGGGCACAGTTAGTCCCGGGTTTTACTGCTTCCTGCAAATGCAGCAGGAGCTGCCTGAGGAGATGCAGGCCGGGATGAGGGCATTGTCCAGGGCTCGGGCCCTTGGTGCTCCTGGCAATCGCCAGCCTTTCTTCCATAGCCTGCTGTCCCCCCCCTTTACCAGCTCAGGTTTCAGTGCCGGTCCTCTTCTGATTCTTTATTTCTTATCCCTGTAGGCATCTAGGTGTGTCGGCCTGTGGCTAATGGAATAACAACATGAAGGATGAGTATGTCTTTTTGGAGAGGTTGAGACAAGGTCTTGCTATGTAGCCCAGGTTGGCCTTGTACTCAGGGTAATCCCCCTGCCTCAGCCTCCCAAGTGCTGGGATTACAGCATGCGCCACCATGCCCGGTTGAGTATATCTTTTATCTGGAGCAAAATCCAGTCATTTTCCACTTCTAGGGGGAAAGAGGCCTTTGAGCCCCGCGTTGTCTCAGGACCTCCTCTGTGGGCAAGATATGGAGCCCGGGACTCCGGAGGGAGAGTGGAGGAAGCAGGAGGTGGCAGGACACTTTGCATCTGAGGGGAGGATGCTGACGAAAAAGCCAGTGTCCAGGAGAAAACACTCCAGAGGGTCTGGGATGGAGGACAAGATGCATAGAGACTGGGAGGCGGAGCTTGTCCGATGCTGTTGGCGGTTTTAGGAAGGAGCCACTGCCCATGCAGCCTCAGCAAGGTGAGCAGCCGAGCAGGAGCCGTTGGTGGCAGCTCTGCCCATGTAAGCGGCTGCTCCCATCCGCAGGGCGACTACACGCTGCCTGCTGTCCCAGCAGTGGATGTCCTCCCTTCCCCACATCCTTGCCTGAGTGTCTGAGCACAGGGCGTCTCCTGTCGGTGCCACCTGCACCTCGATAACTAAAGCCTCGTGGCATCTTCCCTGTGCTTGTGTGCCACTGCACCTTTGTGTTTTTTTTTCTGGTACCAGGAATTGAACTCACGACCTCACGCTTGCTAGGCAGGTGCTGTGCCGCTGAGCTAAATCCCCAGCCTCTCCACTGCACCTTTGGAGAGGGTGTTAAATCTTTTGCCCATTTAAACCACCCATTTTAAAATTGGGTGGTCTTCTTTTATTGAGTTTTGTGTTCTTTTCTTTTTTTTTTTTTGGTTTTTCTCTGGTACCGGGAGCCGAACTCACGACCTTGCTCTTGCCAGGCAGGCGCTTTGCCGTTGAGCTAAATCCCCAGCCCTGAGTTTTGTGTTCTTTATATATTCTGGATAGAAATCCTTTATCAGGTAGGTAATTTGCATAAATTTTATTCCCTTCACTGGGTTGTCTTTTCATTTTCTTTTTGGTATATTTTGAAGTTTAAGTGTTTATACTTTATTCTTTCTCTTTTTTCGAGAGAGAGTCTTACTGTGTAGTGCAGGCTGGCCTTCTTAAACTCGCTTATATAGTGCATCCTGGCCTTGAACTCACAGTGATCTTCCTGCTTCAGCCTCCTGAGTGCTGGGATTACAGGTGTGTGTCATCATGCCTGACCCAGAGTGTTTATTCTGAAAAAGTCCAATTTATCTGTTTTTCTTTTTCTTGTTTGTCTTTTTGGTGTCATATCTTAAGCTTTACCTTACTCAAGTTTTGAAGATTTATTCCTGTATTTTCTTCTAAGGGTGTTATAGAGTTAGTTTTTGTTTTTTTTTAATGTTAAGCTGGCACATAGCTGTTTGCCTGGG